AAAAAAGATGTGTTAAAAAGAGCAGTTTTAAGAAAATTTAAGTTTTGTTTTAGCAAAATTTTGGTACAAGTGATCGTTTGAAAGAGTTAGTAAATCAGGTCTTTTATAGCTAAAATTAATATATAAGATTTTATTAAAAAAAATTAAACTTTTTAATAAAAACATAGGCAAATTTGTCTGTGTTACAATTTAAGGGATAGTAATTTTTCTATAATATATTTTTAATAAAATAAATTGTTTTTTTGAAAAGATTGCATATATACGAAATATTTGATTTGAGCTTTATTAGAACTTGTATTATTGAAATATACAACATATATCAATACTACTCACTCTTGTATAGTGAACTAAGTTATGAAATTATTAAACTTTAGCTCAATATAGTGAAGTATTGTTGCGAAATAACATCTACTTGTATGTTATTTTTGGTATATGCATGTTATTTAGAGAGCATTATTTTGAAACAAAGATAAAATTTCTCTTAAACCTGCCTAAACTCTAATATAGGGTTCACATTATTTTGAAATGTATATAAGTATTATTATATTGGCATGCTATTTTTAAAAGTACTATTTCTAAATAATGCATATGCCCTTTATTTCACAACAATATAGTATATAGTATTCTCCTGATATAAGCTATAGTAAATATTTTTTTTCTAAACCTGATGATTTTAATATAACAAGAAAGTTGTATATGATCAAAATTAGCAATATGTAGTATTAGCCAGTAATTTTTCACTTGCATAAAACAGGCTAACTATAATTCTAAAAAATTTTGCATTTACTAAAACATAGCAAGATTTTACTAAAGGAGAGTGTGAATATAAATTGCTTAATAAGATGTAAAGAAAATTGCAATACTTATTTTATCTTGGCATTATTCTCACTAATTTCTAAACAGACAATAAATTAAAGTGAAATTCTATTTTTACCCAGATCAAAGTCACCCAATATATAATTGCCACTATATTATATAATATAAGCTACTAAAGATTCTATAATTAGGTATCAAGGTTGTCAAATATTTAAAAAACAATATTTATCAGAATTATGTAGCATGTGTGATACTTTTTTGAATCTTGGTTTGTCAGACCAAATTATAGATGCAACTTATATATCAAAAGCAAAGTATTCTCTTGTAAATAATTTTGAAAAACAAATCTCAATAGCTGCAAAAAAAATATATAGGCTTAATACATTAAAATTTAAACAAAAATCAGCACTAAAAAAATATGTTCAAGGTTATAAAAATACTTTCATATTAATGCCTACTAGCAGTGGCAAATCGTTGTGTTTTGTCTTATCTGCCATACTATTCAATAGCTTAACTATTGTAATTAGTTCTTTAATAGCATTAATAGAAAATCAGATGGTTAGTAGTAGTAGTTAGAGGTTTTATCTGATCAAAAAATTTGTATTTAAATATTCATTTGTTTAATACTATTAATATTCGAATATTCATTAAAAAATTTTGAATAAATATTTAAATATTTATTGAATATTCATTGAATATTAAATATACTATAAAACAACTTTAAAATAAGAAAAGTTTAAAACAACTTTAATAATTTAAATAAATATAAAAATACAGTGTATTTTAATACTAATTATTAAAAACAAATATATTAAGAAATATTATAGGTTTATATTTTAATTTATAAAAAAAGTTTTATATCTATTAATAAATAATTTTATAGTTAATTAATTAGATAATTTTTAATTATATACTATATATATTCAATAAATATTCAATGAATTATTTGGTGAATAAATTAAATATTCGAATATTCAATTTGGTGAAAAAAATCTTATTTAAGTATTCAAATATTTAGTGAATATTCGAATATACTATTCATCAAATCAGAACTCTAGTAGTAGTATGTTTAATTTTTATTTATTTCAAATATTAATTATACTTAAATTATAGACATGTTTAACGAATCTTGAAGTTTCTAGTATAGCATTATATGGTTGTATATCAGAATCCCGACACACAAAATCCCGACACACAAAATCCCGGCAACAAAATCCCATTATACAAAATCCTGACAAATTAAAATCCTAAAAATATTAAAATTAGGAATTTAATTTGTCGGGAATTTGTGTATTGGGATTTTGTTACTGGGATTTTGTGTGTCGGGATTTTGTATGTCGGGATTCTGATATACAACCGCATTATATACTTCTATAATGGAAATAGCTATATATGAGGAAAAAATTTTTGAAGAAATTGCGATAAGTTTTTTAAAAGTATTGTATATAATCCCTGAAAAAATTGAACTAAATAATTATTTCAAATATTTTTGGATAAATTATATCAGGAAAACAAATTACAATTAGTTATAGATAAGGCATACTGCATATTAAGTTATCAATATTTTTGGTAAGTAATAAATTTAATTATTATTATATATATTATAATTTGCTATATTCATTTTATTTGATAGGGGTACCTAGAGAAGATTAGAATTTCTTAAACAGCGATATCCAACTATGCCTTTACTGTTGTTAACTGTAACTGTATTATATGCACATATTGAAGCAATTTGTAAAACTCTAAATATTAAACAAAATAATTTTGAAATAGTGCAAATTTATTGTGTTAAGAAATCCAGTATGAGGTTATAGCAAAAAAGGACAAAAAAGATACAATTATTAAAGAAATAGCTAAAATGATTTGTACAATTAAAGATAGTAAATCGATCATATATTGTGTACAAAAAAAAGATTATGAAGAGATAAGAGATATTCTTTAGATAAAATAGCCTAATCATTCATTGAATATATATTATGGAGGTCTAGATAGTAAAGTTAAAAAACACGCATTAGAAAAATAAAAAATAATAAGATACACATAATAATAGCAACTACCATATTTGGAATGGGTTAAATATACCAGATGTCTGTTTAATATTATATTATATCTTTTCTATGATACTGAGTAGGTTTTTCATATACTATTCTTTAATTTGTTGATATTAATGCTATATTTATTTTTGTAGTTGAACTTATATAATTATCTGGTCGTGTGGGATATAATGAGAGGTCAGCAAAAAATATAATATTTTTTGGACTAAAAGACTTGCAAACTAATTACTCTATAATTTCTGAAAATTAAAGGTATAACAATATTAATTATTAGTAATTTAATATAAAAGACAATATTAACTATATACAACATATAAAAAGTAATAGCAAAAGTGTGAAACCTGTATATAAGGTATATATGCTGACTATGCAAAAAGAACTTATTAATATAATAGCCTTTTATACAACACAATATAACTGTCATTAATAATTCTTATACAAATATCTCTGGTCCAAACTATCTTATTATGAATATAATAATTATGACAATTGTCAAAGAAAAAATGAAGAAAATCCATGACTTGCTAATGCCTATTTAGAAATTTTAGAAATATTAGAAATAGTAGAAGCATTGACAAAGGATCATTTAATAGAAATTTTACCTGAAGATATTATTGATGTGTTTAGCAGATTAAATACTGATAAAATTCAAAAAAATAGGTATAATAAACTTATATTACAAAGGAGTACAAAGAAAGTAAAGTTATATGAGGAGACACTACCAAGAATTTTAGTTTCCAAAGAAATAGCACAAATCGCTTTAAATAATCTGGTCTGCAAAAATCTAGTAAAGCAAGAAATATGATTACTAAAATCTAAAACAACACAATATTTGTTATGTAATATAGTTGTAATGAAAATCTCTAAAAATGCGAAAGAACATACAGAAAAAGAATGCTGGGAATATTGGGTATACTCACAAAAGAAAAAAAAACAATCTAAATAAAAAATTGCATTAGTAGCTTCCTATTAAGATAATAATAAATTTTACATTATGCAATAAACTAATTTGTTTACTTCTTATAATATTTGAAATCAATTGGTTTTATAGTATAAATAAAAAAAAAAAAATTATGCATATTATAGAAAGCACAGATTTTGTTATATTGTAAGCCTAACGACCTATTTTATTTTAACAAAAAAAGGATCACTTCTATATAACCAAGTTGCTTCTATATAATCAAGTTGCTTATAGACTGTTAAGTAATAAGAAGTCAATTTTTCCAAGACTTCTAATTCTCTAATACTATTCAACTTGATAAATATTGCTGTAATATTTGAGTGGCTTCAAGTTATAGTGAGATGAGATAGCAGTTAAATAATATATTTTACTATAAAATATTCTAAATATATATATAGGCATTCAATTTTCACATGTATAACAATATATTATACAAAAAATTTGCTATTTGCTTTGTATAAAAAATGATTGACATATCCTCTACTCTTAATAAAAAAATACAATAACATTGTATTATATTTTAGCAGAAGCTCTAAGCAAAAACAATTTCTTTTTGAAGCTCAAATAGAGATGAAAAACTAGAATAACTTTCTTTTTGTAATGTATGATGTTTTTATGAGATAGAACTTAACATTTTATATGTTAAAACAATTAAACTAGCAATATATAAATATAAGTCTCATTTAGTTAAAATTAATGATAATAGTTCACTATAAAGTTATAAAGAAAAGGAGCTATCGTTAAATGAATAGGAAAAAATAGCCAAGTTAGTAAAATTATTGTATCTTTACGAAATCATTTTAAAAAAACTATTAGGTTCAATATACTTAACACTTTTTCAAGCATGGTTTGTAATAAATTTTATTAAAATAAAACTTGATTGTGCAATAGTAAATAATATTAATATTTAGAAATTTAGAAGTCTTCTTAGTAAATCAATTAAGATAGAGTGATATAAATTAATTAATAATTTTGATTTAACTATTAATTAATTAACCAATTAATCAATTAATCAATTAACTATTAATCGATTAATTGATTAGTTGCTTTTTTATATTAATTGGGTTTTTGCCTTGAAAATAACCTTATAGTATCATGTACTGTAAGATCATTTTCAAGATAAAGACTCCAATTAATAAAATTTTATTTTTATAACTAAACAACTAATCAGCTAATTGATTAATTAACTAATCAATCAATTAGTCAACAATAATGATTTGTAATCAATTTTTAAGAAAATTTTAACTACTAATTGATTATATTTTTTGTTCTGATTTATAACACTAAATTAAGAAATGATTCTCAAAACCAACAAAACCTATTTAGCTTGCTGCTTTTTTTGACCCAAGAATCAAAGATATACATATTTTCACAAAAGAAAAGAAGAATCATACTATTTCAGAAGCACATATAAAATATTTTGAATTAGCAAATAATTATTATAGATTAAATAGTTTATTAGATGCAGCACCTGATGATATAATAAATAGTGAAAAAGATATTTTCTCTAATCCTGTGGCTCAAGAGTATTCAAGTCAAGGTGATGATAATAATATTGCTAACTATAAATTCAATTCTTATTTATTACTACCAAGTGTTTCAAGTAATACAGATATACTTCAGTAGTAGGCTTCAAAAAAAGCTGATTATCCTATACTTGCAAAGCTTGCCCACAAGTATCTTTCAATTCTGGCCACGTTAGTGCTATCTGAATATCTTTTTTCTTCTGCAGGTCTTACTATTACTAAAAAAAACAAGTTTTAATTCTAAATTTGTCAAATCAATCTTGTTTCTTAAAGCAACTATAAAGCTTTGGCCCGCTTCACATGTGTTTGGTTAGATAAAAAAAATTTTATATCTAAATAGTTTAAAACAATTAACTTAGCAATCTAACAGATTGTAATTGAAATTAGTAGATAGTTTTGGAGTTAAGTTGAGTATAAGCAGACAAAACATTCAAAAAAAAAAAATTGAAGCACTTATAGCCTATATAAATCATTAAAATTGAATATTTAAATATTCAAAAAAAAAATAAAATAAAGAAGCACATATAAAATATATTTATATTCATTAAAATTTAACAATGCATTTGTATTTAGAATTAAAGAATAATATATTGTATGATAGAGATAAAATAAAGAATTATCTGAAGATTTAAATAGAGTATATAATTATTTAGAGTGAATTAAATATATACTTATCATTAAATGAGTAAAGAAATATTTGTCTAGAATAAATATTCTAAGTAAAAAAAAAAAAATACTATATATATATGTAATTATAATAAAACAAACACATGTGTTATTGCTTATTTAACACAAGTTAGACAAACTAAATTCTGGATCTGTACTGGTTAGTTAAGAATTTAACTTAAATAATAGCTTTACTATTTATATAATAAATTATTTTATATTATAGTTGTATTTCCATATAAGCATCTTTTATATAAGTATATCATCTTTAGCACATTTATTTTTTAAACCAAATAAATATATAAAAATTACTTTTTATATAAGCATATTTTCTATATAAAAACCTCTTTATAAATCCTAATAGTAAATATATAGTAGTTAAATTGTTCAATATAGCATTTTTGTCTATTTTAAATTCTAACCCATTTAATCTAAGTTAGAGCAATTTCAACCTGTGACTTGCTAGATCGAGTAACTTATACAGATTACCCAAAGGTACTTATTAGTATTTTACTTGCTAATTACTATAGCTATTTGACTATATTAATATTTAGCTAAATATCTATTCAGTAAACAAGATATAGAGTAAATATCTAAATAAAAGACCCAGATATCTTATATTTTATTAATATTTAATTTATAATAAACTTTAGATATATGAATATTTACAATTTATCTATTTTTTCTAGATTATAAACTACAATAAAAAACATTAATCTATGTATTTTATAGTAAATGATTTTTTTTTTTTTTTTTAATATTAAAGTAACCACTTAGACTTTTGGCACTTTATTAGTACAAGCAGGTATTGCAGATCTGAAAACTATGTGCAACATGTTATAGTAGTATTATAAGAGTATAACTAGCCACTTGTACAACTTTTGGTTGTTTAATTTAAATAGTCTGTTCTAAGGTTTTATACTAGCTGTCATACCTATAGCCTAACTAGAAAGCTATCTATTTAAATACTCTGGTTTTAACCTCTGCATTATATTTCTTTTAATATATTCTTTCGGGATAATTTACTATTAAAAACCCTAAAACTTTAGCCTTCAATTAGCCTAATTTCCTAGAAGGATATTTATCCTTGTAGTAAACTTAACAAAATAGTACATACTCTATATATGTACTTACCTGCATGTTTGATAACTTTTTTCTAACTAGTATATGTTGTGTTGCCACCACTGAGTTCATATCTCAAGCTATCTTTTTGAATATTGCAATAACCCAATTCATATCTCAAACTACAACTTTTCTAATTAGTTCTCAGTTATATATTCCTTGCTCTTGCAAGATTTACAACAACCCCAGTATCTATATTTCAATCTCTTTCTTTTCCAAATTCTTTACTAGTCTCTTCCTTACTTCTAGCTGGCAACCTAGAAGGGTTGATCTGTTTAGGCTTTAGGTACTTTATAGTCACCCTCCTCTTGGTATATGCTTTCAAAATACAAGTTCTTTTTTTCAATAACTCCTTCTATAGATAACATTAATACAGCTGCCACTTCCAAAATAATGATATTCTCCATACTCTGTGGGCTATTTTTAGAAGAGAATGATGTAAGTAGGCGGGCAGTAAAGCCTATTTACGTGGAAAACCAAGTTAATGATGGCCAGACCCAACGTACAGAACAGGCTATAGCACTCTTTGCAGCTGTGAGAGCCAAGCATATGGTGAGCGTCTTTATAGAAGGAATCCTGAACATTTCAGATACCAACTCATCAAATCCTTCTGAGATCACCTCTAATAACACTCTCTTACTTGCTACAACACAACCAACTATTCTGTTATTATTCCTAACCACTCCATTTATTCAAACAACCAATCTATCAACTCTCTCCCCAAATCTATCAGAAGACTCTGAAAATGATAACTTATCTCCAACTACTAAAACACTACAAGGAAAGCTCTCTGCAAACCTACCACTAGATCTACTGGAAATATATGATAATACAATATGCTTTAACAAATTCTTATTTCTACATAATCTCTAGCCTCTTTCAAGCCCATAAACAACTACCTCTTTTCTCCATCATATCAAAAATAATTATTCAATATACTACTCTAAACAATTTATTAAAATCTCAATTCAAAAAGCAGATAATCTCCTTATAGAAGCACATACAGTCATCACCTTCTATAGTCACCTCCTCTATAGTCACAAAACCAATATAATCATATTTATTTTTTTATCAACTTCTTTTATATTATTTATACCTTTATATAAGCACAATTGCTATATAGTCACTATCACAATTTTTTGTTAACTACTCATATAATACCTATATAAAACTTCTCCTACTAAAGTCACATCAAATCATGGGCTTACAAACCAACCAATCAAAAAGTAAAGCAACTTTATAAAAAAAGTAGTACGAACATACGTACGTATGCATCTCTAGATTTTAACTTTTAAAGAATATAGTTGCTTAGTTAAGCATTTGGTCATTTCCCTATTTAAGTTATTTGAAAACGCTGACTTAATACGTGAATATAAATAAAGAGTTTATTATACGAAGCTGCGATCTTAGCTAAGTAAAATTTGATTTCTTTGCATTTAAGTTTTAGTCTCTTCTATTAGTCACAGTTATAGCAATTCAAGATTCTATTGTATTATGCGAACATGATCTTCTGTTACGATCTGACTATAA